AATTATGGTCGACTATGATATTAGTACTGCGCTAATAATAGACATAATCCTAAAACTGTAGACTTGTCATGATATAACAACCTAATCTATAAGATCTTACGTATAAATCATATCATCGTCAACACGAACTCATCGTATCGTAACAATCACCAATACATGATGTAAAACAAGCTTAGGCAAGAGGTAGAACAATATATTTAACATGAATAAAAGATGTAACATTCAAGAAGGACCACGCCTGCATGTCGGAGCAATGCCATTCGATCAATTCCGATCAATTCGATTCATTCTTCCAGCCCTCTTCATCGTTGGGTTCTTCTCGGTGTTGAATTTTGAATGACTATTTCTCACATTGTCTCGTATTAGGGCTCAATGTCACTGCAAGTTTACTCGAGATTATTTAAAAGCCCGAATACCCGTTGTAAAGATATTTTATTGTTAAAGATTAATAAAATCCGCAAGCGTACAGAAAGCAAGCACACAGGGAAACCAAGAGTGTGTGTGTGTGAGTTGAAAATTCATATATATTTATTAATGTTAATCAAGTGTGGATAAATAATCGATTATCTATGTGTCACAACCAATCGGAGAATAGATTAAGGATTGATAAGCAGACACGCGCTCAATCAGTGAGTAGACAAACAATACAATAGTTGAATGGGCTTACTACATGCACTTCGGGCGAACTTAGAAGTTCTGACTTGCAGGTCTGAAAAATGGGTGATGTCTATCAACGCGGCCCAGTGTGTCTACATGCACATTAGAGATACAAAGGTAGCTAGGTACGGTGTGAGGGAAGACTCAGTGCCTATGGCCTGAGCTCACAAAGAACCTGGGGTGACAGTAAGCCATGATCTTAAGACCACAGGTCACTGTCACGAGGTCACAGCTAGGGGGTATGGGTCCCTATGGGCTTTAGCAATTTATTTGCGCCTGTTACTCGCAATGGTGCATAGGCCACCGGCTAGCATTCTCTAACCCACCCTCACCCGGGGATCGCTTTCTAGTTCTATCCAATGGTTCTTCATTCTTCTCATGTCTGTCTCCATTTCTCGTTGTAATGTGTTGTTTGGTCCTCCTATTCTCCATTGGCCTTGGGGATTTCAAGTGAGGACTTGTCTTGTGACGCAGTTGGGTGCTTTCCTCAATGTATGTCCTACTCACTTCCAGTGCTTCTTCCTGATTTGTTCCTCTGTCAGAGTTTCGTTTGCTGTCTCCCACAAGAGATTGTTGCTGATAGTGTCAGGCCAACGGATCCGAAGTATTTTACGTAGACAACTGTTAATAAACACTTGTATGTTCTGGATGATGGCTTTCATAGTTCTCCAGGTTTCTGCCCCATACAGTAGAACTGTCTTGACATTTGTATTGAAAATTCTGACGTTGATATTGGTTGACAGACAGTTGTTTTGAGTTCCATATGTTCTTCAGGTGTAGATATGCTGCTCTTTCTTTGACGATTAGCGCCGTCACATCTACATCAGATTTATCGTGTTCATCAATGTTGCTGCCCAAATATGTAGAGGTTTTTACATCTTCCGAATCTTCACCGTCAATTGTGATTGGATTGGTGCATGCTGTGTTGTATCGGAGATTCTTGCTTTCCCCTTTGTGTATAATGAGACCAACTGCTGCTGAGGCTGCTGCTACATTGGTCGTCTTCTCCTGCATTTGCTGTTGCGCGTGCGATAGAAGAGCCAGATCATCTGCGAAGTCTGGATCATCCAGCTGCATCCTAGCAATTTACTGTATCTCATGCTTTCAACCAGATGTTGACGTCTTCATTATCCAGTCGACCACGAGGAGAAAGAGAAATGGTGAGAGTAAGAAGCCTTATCTGACAGTGGTCTTTGCTTTGAACGGGTCTGTCAGCTGACCTCCATGTGCAATCTTGCAGTTTAATCCATCATAGAAATTCTGTATGGTGTTGACTATCTTCTCAGACACGTCATAATGTTGAAGAAGCCTCGATAGTGTTGTCCAGTTCACGTTATCAAATGCTTTCTCGCAGTCAGTGAAATTGATATAGGGATTTTAAATGTTTCGAATTATTTTTTCAGGTTAGCTTTTGTTTAGAGAATTAGTTTTCTATGTGATGGGGTCGCTAACCGCATGACTAACCTTCCTACTTTATCCGGGCTTGGGACCAGCATTAGCCCCAGAGGGGCTCCAGGTAGTGTCCTTTACCAATCTAGATACTAATATGTTCACCACAGTATACACAACCCCTGTGAGTTCCAGGCTTGAAAATTGCGTTGAGGCTGTAATTCTGTGTTTTAAATGTGACTCAAATGTCTTGTAAAAGGTACATAGGGCAGCTACCCATGCAGTCATAGAACTCTAGGGTTTACCATACAAGGAGTATGTAGGGACAGTGAAATTTTACTGACCCCTAACCGAATCATCCAGCAGTTGAGTCACTGCATATCGAACAGATTATCGAACCTCGTCGAGGTCAAGGACAATCACCGCGCATCAGTTAATCGAATGTCACAGGCTGGCTCGGCACACCATGCGTGTTAGTTTACGGGTTTTCGCGCACATGTAACATATTGTCGTGGATTTTATATTTCGTTATTTATCAGCTATTAACAGCCTTTTTTCCATCATACGTGACTTCTCGTAATCTTTGTGATTGGAAGATAGTATTTATTTCAATTTATAAGCAGTTTGACGTATTTTGTGCTCACCACCTAAGTAAACATGCAGTTGGCGTAATATGGTTATTTTTTAATAATACAAGGTCAAACAAGTCAAATCACCATTTTTCTAGTGAAAAATAGAAAACAGATTGACTTTTCATGAAAATAAGCCGTGAAAAGCATTATATATGGTTCACCTCCTTGATTATGGTGACAGCAAACATAGATGTTCGCAGTCGTTTATAAGATGTTATCAGAAAGAAGTAAGCATTAAACTAACTATGGATATTATATAAATTGTTTGTATTTAGCCATAAAAGGTTATTTGCACTAAAGGTAGCATTGTTTGGTATTGAAGTGACATATTATTGTGTAACGTATCAGAGAAAAATTATGTGAGTAAGAATTGATGTTGATAGTCTTTTTTACCGGCTTTCTGAACGTATACAGGAACAGTGTATAACACCACATTAAATAGGCACAAAATCTTCATAAGTGAAACGATGGCTGTCTCTTCTGAGCATGGTGACAAAACCATGTCGTACTTAATATTGATTCATGATGTGTCTGTTATAGGGTTGACGAATAATTTTCTGTAAACGAAATGCACAGTCTCAGACGAAAATGTGAACAAACTTATGATGCATATTGTCGAGTAATATCTAAATGGTACTTACCAATTTTTCTTGCTAATACCAGATGTATGTACGAAATAATACAAGGGTTAGACACTGAATAAATTCCCAGTGCTTGTTACGACACAGACTTGAATAAAAAACAACTATTCATGAGTTAATTCATGAATTCCTACTGTATTACAGACTGACTCGTCCGAAGTAATTCATGCAGACAACGGGACGAAAAGTGAATGAGCAATGGAAGCAGAATCACAAGTTCCTTGTATTCATATCTCGTTTATGCCACATTAATGAATAACATTTTCTTCATAATTCAGACCACGCTTCTTTGTTGTGACGAAACTGATTTCAGCAATTTTTAAATAACATTGATTTGTGTGTTGTAAAGATTACCTATTAATTATTATTAAAGGAAATAGAAATCTCTAATGATTAGCGCTGTCTGCAAATAAGAGACTTATAGGTACATTCTGTAACCTGCTATTTGATGTACTTATTGAATGTGATACTTATAACTAGGTCTAATTCTTTATTTCACAACTGATTTGTTTGTTTTTCAGAATTGTATGAATCCAATAAAGTCGTCAAAGGTTTGTGATGTTTACGCCGGTCTACAACTTACAGAATTTGTTAAAAAACGGTTTACATGTTCACGTTAACTGTGTTCCGTATTGCCTAGTAACATTTTTATTCAACTAATGAATTAGTGAAATATAAATATAGCAACTACACTTATTGTCTTACTTTATAAACCGTGTCCGTCTTTATTAATAGTCGATATGACGCTAGAACAAATATAGATATAGAATAATATGAACTCCTTATAATCCATGGAGTGAACAAGTAATAAGATGGATTATGTATTAATTCATTTCACTTTTAAAATTTAGTTGCCGATTTATTCCAGCACCCTGTCACTTACATCTGCTCACTTAATCCTCTGTAATTATGTGACCTCTTCAAATTGTAATAAGTTATTACGTGACCCAAGTTTTCAGTTCTTAAATCCACGGATCACTTATAGGCCATAAGATTTTCACACCACTTATCTGTCTGTGAACTCCAGTCCACTATTACACCACCCATTCTTAATGTGTTATTGACTGTAAAAACAAATGACCTTTGACCTTAAACTGCATATATATATATATATATATAGTCATTATTGATAACCCACGTCATTTCAATTATTCATATTAAGGTATGTCAACTGTTTCCCACATCACTGTTAAATCCTAATGCATATTTAGTTATAACGAATGCATACCATTGTTAATCAACATTTATCCTGGTTTCATTTTAATTCATAAGCGGAACTAATCACATGGAATTAAAATCTTAGCTACTGATACGATTTTAATTATAAACGTAATCCGACGAAGGTGAATATGATATGTGGGTGCCTAATCTGCAAGATTGTACGTGGATGTAGGGTTTCTGAATCATTCTTAATTATTACAAACAGTTACACATGAACGTCATTGCTATTTATTCCCATGAAACTAGGAATAAGATGAAAATTAAAATTATGAAAGTTTATTGAATAATCATTGCTGCTAAAGCAGAAAATCAAGTTTACAAGTTGGTATTAAGAATTTTTAAGTAATAATTGTCCACTTTCTTCTCAACTTCCGTTGCGAAACGTTCACCATACTTCTCAATGATGCGATGCTTATGGATTCTTTGACTTCGTTGAATACTTATATACACTTCACTCCGTCGTGTTAATGCAGTTAATGTATAATTTTGGAAGTTCTGGGTATTATGTAACTTCCATCTGCTACAATACCTAAGAAGTTGATGAGCTATGCAGTTAGTATTTCACAATTGATATAGCTTACCTGTAAGATTTCGTCTTTTAACGTAGGCAAGTAGCATGTGACGGAATATCTACATTGTAAAATACAATGATAAACATGTTCACTTTTTATTATTAGTATTATACGTAGAATCAATGCACACAACTTCTGGATATTTTCTGTACAGTTGTATTTGGTTAGAACTACTGAAACATATTCTAGTGGCATATCCATTTTCTAAATGTTCCTTCACTTCGCCTTTCTGTCTAAGCATATCCATTATCTGGTTCCGAGTAAAACAACCTGAAATATATTTATATACACTTACCAGTGGAGAGTGTAGCTTTCATATCTTTGACATCGGCAGCAGTTACTTGCTTACCAGTTCTCTCCTTAATGCTTTCGATAAAAAAAAAAAAAAAAAAAAAAAAAAAAAAAAAAAACTTCAAGTTCTCTTTTTCTTCTGACGATAATCTCCTTCTCCATGGATCACATACCATCCATGAACTACTACATGGATGATTGTGGAGCATGTTGTAGGATTTGATGACATATCCTTGCTCCTCTAGTCTTACACGGAATTTAGATTGACAATTACGGAATTTAGACCTTAAACATAAGATATTAGTTAAAGATCTTACGATTTTTGCCTCACTTTCAAACCTTCCGATTTCCGTTTATGACCAAACGTACAATTAAACGATACAAACAGGTATTTGAACCTGACATCCTTCAGCAATCTGCTTTCTGTGTGGATGTAACGAGTATAAGTAGTCTGAGAAGCGATAAAACTATAATTCCATACTTTTTGGAACTCTTTTAAGGCGCTTTCAAAATCATCCCACAAGACGAAACGCTTGTTCAGTATCATACTTCGAAAGGCATCGGTTAGGTCGACTGAAATGTCACTTGAGCATGAAGCACTAAAAACAGAAATGACTAATTATTAAAAGGTTATTCCTTGTGACAATAATAACCCAAGAAAATACTACAAATACTTAGGATTTACCTGTGACTTGACATTTCGTTGAGCTTTACTACAGTTGTTGGGATCAAAGATCAAATTACAAAGCAACAACAGAGCCAACGTGTACACTACAAAACAGAGAACGCTAAATTAATGGTTTTCGTATTTACTTCGTGCTTTTTTATGTAGCATAACATGACTTATATATGAAAAAACTTGGTACTCATGCAATCCAACCAACCCACGGCAATTGAAATACGGAATGACCGCCTCTAATCAAGCCGTTCAAGGTCGTTGAAACGAAAGGGCGGGCACATTTCAAAAGGACCTAACGTTTAAACCTTGCCGCGTGGATGATGTCTCCAACAAACAAGTAATTATGTTTAAGAATAGTAAAATAACTTCATTGAAGCCTGATAATGTAGTAGTAGTAAACGGGCAGCCTGGTTTAGTCACTGATATAAAGGAGGATGGACTACTGAAATTTAGGTTTTTCACTGATCCACGCAATTACTTTGAAGATCCTTTCCCATCTAGTGATATAGGAATCTTTATGTGCTCCATAGTTAGCCATGAACACATATGGGTATCGGTTAAGGACATTGATTGTGAATGTATAGCCATAAATTGTATCAGTTATCTAGTTCTAATCCCATTGTTGCATACTTTAGTGTAAATGTATTTTGTTTCATTAGTGTTGAATAAATGGTGAGGTAGAACATAAAGAAAATTGCACGGACTATTCCCTTCAGCCACGTTCGTTCGGCTATTGAGAATTGAGGTAGTCGTCCTGTGAATTCTGAAGTTAAAAAAACAAAAAACGTCTCAACGACATCTGAATGGCATGCTTTGGCACAGCCAAATGCTTGAAGCTGAACTTACGGTTATGTTCGTTAATGCTGTAGACTGTAACTATAGAGCCATAGGGAAGTTATCACTTGAAATTAGTACATACCTGATCTTGTTTTCTTCTATTACGGTTCTTCACTTTGTCTCTGACATCGTGGAAATAACCTTGTGTCGCGATGTCGTACAGCTTAGCAAAGTCTTTTTCGTTGACAGCGGATGACAGAAAGCGATTTGTTAACACACCTGAAGTTTAAATACTAAATATGAGTTACTTCGTATGCAGCCGTAAAACCGGCATTTCTGAAGTGCGCGTTTCGAAGAGGTGCCAAGTAACGTGAATTTACTGACAACCTCAGGTGTTAAGAGGTGTGACAGAACATACCGCATTGATGTTTTCGGATCGTCACTTGGTAACCTCGTAACCATTGCCATCTGTAATAGTAACAAATTATTAAATTAATGTTGATGGCTTACAAATCGGTCCCTGGTTTCTTTCTGCTGCAAACCAGTGTCCAGCATCTGCAGTTCCTCTTCAGATGACAAAGGGAGCTGCTGACTCGAGATTCCGCAATGGAATTGATGCGGTTTTCCGCGTTCATTAGACTTAGATAGTAATTGCTTTACATTAATATTCAAGTCAGTAATGGCCGAGGAAATGTTGTGCATCGTTTTATTCAAGTCAGTGATAGCTGACGACATGTTCTGCACCACTGTATACAACCTATCGAACCTGAAAAAGTTCATTTGATGATGCAGGTGACTTACAGGTCCGCTATAACACCACTGACATGCTTAGATTCCGATGTTGACGGTGACGTCTCTAATTGCGTCGAACTAATTCGTGAACATCTAAATAATAATGAAGCTTACTTGGCAATTGGCGAGACGAATTTGTCAAACAACCGAAGTTTTGGATATTGTACGTGGCGATTGCCAGCCTGCATCTCAGCCACGTCCATGTCCACTGAATTGTAAAGAAACGCTTCTTTCCGCTTCATTGCACCTCTAGGAAATGTTAGTAAGATTATTGCACAGACCTCTTGGGCTTTTCTGTGTTTTGTGGCAATGTGTTTTCATCTGTAGAAGTGTTTCTACGATGAGATTCCAGTATTTGCAGGGAAATTAAAAGATCTTTCGCAGACTGCAAAGAATCTATAGTGAATTATAGTTTCTATGTTTGTTACTTACCGAATTTGTGAATGACTTTACATTTCAAAACTGACCAGTTGTTATCTGGTTGATCGTAGTTTTGCAGGTGAGTATCTATCAGCTCGTTTGGAAGAAGGCAAAGTTCTTTCCCGACCATCCACTCCTTGGATGCTATCATAAGTTCTTTATTGATCGGGACGTGAAGAATGACGTATTTCTTGTTATTAGGCTAAAAATAACATAATACGTCATTAAATGGTTTATCCTCATTAATTCAACACTAATGAAACAAAATACATTTACACTAAAGTATGCAACAATGGGATTAGAACTAGATGACTGATACAATTTATGGCTATACATTCACAATCAATGTCCTTAACCGATACCCATATGTGTTCATGGCTAACTATGGAGCACATAAAGATTCCTATATCACTAGATGGGAAAGGATCTTCAAAGTAATTGCGTGGATCAGTGAAAAACCTAAATTTCAGTAGTCCATCCTCCTTTATATCAGTGACTAAACCAGGCTGCCCGTTTACTACTACTACATTATCAGGCTTCAATGAAGTTATTTTACTATTCTTAAACATAATTACTTGTTTGTTGGAGACATCATCAGCGCCTATTGGGGTAGTATTTGTTGAACAGCTAAGTTGAGGCCTATCGTAGAAGGACATTTTTTCAGCATAACGCTGAGCTGCTTGCTTAGCTACAGCAAACCCACTGTGCACAGAATTCTTGATTTTTGTCTCATATAAAATTCGACTGGAAAGGCTGAAAAACTATCTAAAGGTCCATGTGCACGAACGTCGTCAGGGAGGTGCTGTAACGAATGCGCATTGTAAACTAAGTTTTCAGACTCATAACACCATTTGTATTCTTTAAGGAATTTTTGTATATCTATTCTGGCGGTTTCTACAACAGTATTATGTAGTTTCGGATGTGCAAGCAGATAAATGGATAACGCTAAACGCCGGAAATTAAGATACGAAGGTTGCGGCAATGTTTTTTGAAGAATCACCGGGCTTAAATACAGAAGGAACAACCTACATTCAGAAGCTTTCCATGCCGATACGAAGTCTAGTGTACGGCATTTACACGGAAAGTCATAAGGAGTACTTTCCAGGCAACCTGATATTAAATTATTAATGTCCCTAATTGTACATGAGTGCAAGTTCAGCAGTCTCCTGTGTGCTAAATCTATCCATAAATTAGCCAGCTTTTTTGTGACACCTAGGTACACCATGTGCATAGGATTTAAAGTAAAAGTTAAAATCATATTAATCGGAAGGGTTTCCATAATGGAATGTTGATTGTGAAATAATATGTATCTCATTCTGTCGTTTATAGTCAGGTTTCTAAGGTATTTTTCTATTTTACTCCTAAATCTGCTTTATTTTGAATGTTGCATTATATTTTGATTTCTATTCTTCAGGTTACACTTCATACTAATTTGTACTCAAATCATCATTCGTCTCTGACTCCATTTATTAGTTTGCGCTAACATTCTTTCGAATTCTATGTCCCAAGACATATTAAAAAATGCTGTCCATTCTCAACGTGTTCGTTTCTTGTACAAATTTATACTTACTTTGCATCGTTCACTCCCTTCGCATTTACGGGAAATTGGTGACAAATATGTGAAAACAGAATTCAAGAAGCATAAGGATGTCAAACTTGAATTTGTTCAACCATTCATGGTTGAATGGACAGTAAGTAGGTTTAAATATCTACATATTTTGTATTTCAGGACTTGTTCTAAACTTCATGTATGTTTATAATTACGAAGTCCAGTGATTAGATCCCATAAAGAAGTTTAAATAATGACAGAAATTTTAGTTATGATAGTATGTAATATTAGAGGTAAATTTATCAGAATACGTTTACCTTTTTTCCTTTAAGTTATGTATCTAAACAATCGTGTGAAATAAAAGTGTAAACTTGAATAGTCGACTTTCAGGTCGTAAACCGACTGTAAAATGTGGTGACCAGTGATAAAATAAAGCGACATTTATTATGTGCAGTCAGCTTAAGCTTGATTTCATAATAGTCGATGCCTTCATTGTTATGAATAGTTTGAATAAAGGGTGGCATAAAATATGGTGGTTGACTTTCATTAGCAATCCTTGCTTATGGTGTGTATATGGACGCTTATTTCAGTGTTACTTAATTACTTATGCCTGTTACTCATCATGGAAGAACATAAGCCGACCATCACCACTCGCCATCCAACCCTGTTTTGGGCAATTCTCTCCAGCTCCTTCCAGTTGTTATTCATCCTTTTCATATCTGCTTCTATTTCCCGACGTGATGTATTCTTTGACCTTCCTCTTCTCCGTTTACCTTCTGGATTCTAAGTTAGTGCTTGCTTCGTGATGCAGTTTGATTATTTGCGTAATGTATGTCTTATCCATTCCCATCGTCTTTTCCTAATTTTCTCTTCAACTGGAAGCTGGTTTGTTCTCTCCCACAGTAGGGTGTTGCTGAGTTCCATCTGTTCTTCAGTTGTAGGAATGTGGCCCTTGCTTTGTGAATCCTCGGCTGTACGTTTGTATCTGATCCTCCTTATTCATCGATGATGCTTACCAGGTACGTGAAGGATTCTACATCTTCCAGAGTTTCGCCATCTAGAGTGATTGGATTGCTGTTCTCCGCTTTGGATTTGAGGACCTTGGTTTTCCCCTTATGTATGTTGTGGTTTACTGATACAGAGACTGCTGCTATACTGGCTGTCTTTATCTGCATTTTTTCGTGTGTATGCGATAGGAGGGCTAGGTCATCTGTGAAGTCCAAATCGTCTAATTGGTTCTGAACTGTCCATTGTATGCCGTATTTTCCCAGTCGATCACCAGAAGAAAGAGGAAGTAGGGGAGTAGACAGTCTTGTCTGACTCCGGTCCTTACTTGGAATGCATCTGTCAACTGTCCTCCATGCACTACTTTGCACTGTAGTCCGTCGTATGAGTTTCGGATAATGTTGAGAATCTTCTCAGGAACTCTATAGTGTCGAAGAAGTTTCTATAATCTCCTCCTATCTACACTGTCAAACGTCTTCCCATAATCAATAAAGTTGATGTATATTGACGAGTTCCACTCAACTGATTGTTCGACGATGATCCGTAGTGTCACAATTTGGTCTGTGCACGACCTATCCTTACGGAATCCAGCCTGTTGATCTCGAAGTTGGGTGTCTACTGCATCTTTCATCCGGTTCAGGAACACAGTTAGAGACTTTCCGTGGTACTGACAGTAGTGTGATGCCTCTGTAGTCCTCACATTTTCTCAGATCTTTCTTTGGAATCTTGAGGTGTCCTTCTTTCGAGTCCATCGGCACTTGTTCCTCCTCTCAAATCTTCTTGAATAGAAGGTGAAGTATGTTTGAAGTTACTTCGATGTCTGACTTGAGCGCTTCGGCTGGTATATTGTCGGGTCCTGCTGCTTTCCCGCTCTTGATTTGTCCGATGGCCGTCCTGATTTCTTCCGTCGTTGGTAGATTGACACCTATAGGAAGCTCTGTGTGTGTGCTGCTTCGATGTCCGGTGGATTCAATTAAGCTTGTCTATTCAAGAGTTCTTTAAAGTACTCTATCCACCTGTTCCACTGTTCTTGAATTTCAGTGATTGGCCTGCTATCTTTATCTTTGACCGGTCTTTCTGGTTTGCTATATCTCCCTGCTAGTTTCTTCGTTGTATCATAAGACTGTTCCATATTTGAGATGGTGGAGAAGATTTGTAGCTCAGGTGGATGATTTTGGTGGAGTTTTGTTCTCTGAGCTGGATGGTTTGGTCGTGGAGCTTTCATCGTTCTTCTGAACGATATCATCAGCACAAACTTCAGATAGAAGTGAAGTGTTCGAATTTCTCCATATGTGTTTCACAGCTTGTTCTGTGCACCTCGATGTTGATTGGTTCTTGTTGACCTTAAATTTATCATTGTTTACTTCTTTGTTTTGGTTGTGTCTCCCATTGATTTGATTTTTGTTCCTATATTTATGCATGATTTTCCTGATTGGTTGATAAATTGGATTGATTTCAATATGTTTGTTGATTGCTGATTGACCTGAGTGCCAAGCTTCTAAAACTTCTCTGGTGTTTTTGGAGTTTCCTCTGTCTAAGATTTCTACATTTTCCCAATCGAATGAATGTCCGTAGTTATCCACGTGTATTGATATAAGTGAAGAGATATCATGGCGTTTGACTGCAGCTTTTTTCCGCCGTCGTTGCTAGTTCTTCCACGTATTTCTGCTTGTCGGCTTTGATCCTCTTCTTCACTTGCTTGTTTGTTTCTATGCACTCAGCTTGTGCCTTGACTTCCTCTGCTCGTGTTCGGCTGGCGTGGTTTCTTAAAAATGAAAGGTAGAGTATTCGGTATCCTGCCCTTTAACATTCAGGTGATTTCAGTTAATTAGTATACTAACATTAAAGTTTTATATGAAGTCTTTGGAATTCTGTCCAGATTTTGTTTTTAATTAAATACGGACTGCAGCATATGCAACAGTATCATTAAATTGTTTCTGTAAATTCACTAACGTAATCATTCGTATACTCCAGTTAATATTTTTCAAGGCAACTGTAAAGTTAAACAATAGGGTATAGTGATGTATATATTCTTAGTTTTTAGTCAACTATGGGAAAACCATCGAATTAGATTTCGTTTTTATAGGATTTTTCAATTAGGTCTATCTACAGTCTTGATGCTAGTTCATTGATCCATCCATATTGTTGCTAAAGAGTTCATCATTTGTGTGTGGGCTGTGATACTGCCCGGGTGCCCAAACCGAAGCAGGTGGTGCTTTCCTTACAACTCATTGAAGCCCGTCGGTCTACTCCGGGTGACCGTGAATTTGACCATAAACGAAGGATGTTACGTAAGGAAATTGGGCAAAGCTTGCGTAAGGACCAGGAAGCCTGGTGGTCGAAGCGTGCTAATGAGCTGGAAGCAGCAGCTGCATCTGGTAACTACCGGAAGCTCTTCCAGCTCATCCGAGCCACTGGCAGCAAGAAGTCTGGTGTGAGTGAAACAATCTGCGAGGATGATGGGATGCCAATCACTAACATCCATCGACGTCTTGGACGATAGGCAGAATTTTTCGAAGGGCAGTTCAAATGGTCTGCTGCTCCGGCAACATCGGTCAGACTGTCCTGCCCTCCATGGCCGGTGACGACTGATCCACCGAACGAGGAGGAAGTCCGCAGGGAATTCCAACTTTTGAAGCGTTACAAATCACCTGGCCCAGATGACTTACCTCCGGCTCTTTTTAAAGATGGTGGTGACTTTCTGACTAAGGAATTGACGACGTTGTTTACAAAGGTTTGGGAACTAGAGAGTGTGCCAACGTCATGGAATGAGTCGATAGTTGTCCTTATCTTTAAAAAGGGTTCACGTCGTTCCTGTAACAACTATCGGGAGATAAGTCTACTTCCGATTGCGTCCAAGCTATTGGCTTCCGTCATACTCCGTAGGTTGTTCAAAACGTAAGAAAGACTGACTGGCGAGGAGCAGGCTAGGTTTCGTTCTGGTCGAGGATGTATTGATCATATCTTCACCTTCCGCTAAATGTTAGAACACCGTCATACTTATCAAAGGCCAACAATCGTAGTGTTTCTTGACATCAGGGCTGCCTTCGATTCGTTGGACAGGACTGCTTTCTGGGATTGTCTATTGAAGAAGGGTGTGCCTGAGAAGTTTAATAACATCCTAAAAGCCCTATATAAAATCACCTCAGGCAGAGTGAGGGTATACAACCACCTCTCTCCATTGTTCCATACGAGCAGTGGGGTAAGGCAGGGTTGCCCAATCTCACCATTCCTCTTCAACTTTGCCATCGATGACATTCTGGAAACAGCTCTGATGAATGTAAGTAATGGTGGTGTGGATCTGTTGCCTGGAGAAAGACTTCTCGACCTTGAGTATGCGGATGATATTGTCTTACTGTGCGATAATGCCCAAGGCATGCAATCCGCACTTAATCAGTTGGCAATCAGTGTCCGTAGGTATGGTATGTGCTTTGCAGCTTCGAAGGGCAAAGTACTTCTACAGGACTGGCAGGATTCCGATCCTGTACTCACCCTGGATGGTGAGCAGATAGACATAGTCGAGAAGTTCGTGTATCTGGGTAGCTGCATAAGTGCTGGTGGGGGTGTGAGTGATGAGATCAATGCACGAATAGTGAAAGCCAGAGCGGCTTATGCCAATCTGGGCCACCTTTGGCGCCTTCGTGATGTTAGTCTGGCTGTAAAAGGTCGGATCTACAACGCGTCGGTGAGAGCAGTTTTGCTCTATGCTTGTGAAACCTGGCCTTTCCGAGTTGAGGACGTTAGACGACTCTGTGTTCGATCATCGTTGTCTCCGAAGGATTGCTGACATTCAGTGGCAACACCATGTCAGTAATGCAGAGGTTCGGCATCGTGTGTTTGGGCACAGAGATGATAATGCAATTGGTGTCACCATCTTTGAAACACCGACTTCGGTGGCTTGGACATGTTCTACGAATGTCGTCCCAGAGAATTCCACGTCGTGCATTATTTGCCGACTCTGCGACTGGTTGGAAGAAGCGGAGAGGTGGTCAGTGCATGACATGGTGTCGTGGCATGAAAGAAAGCTGCAAAGGACTGGCTTCTGTCGGTCCTTCACGGCTCCCTGGTTGGGGTCCGAGAGATGGTGCTACACAGTGGCTAGAGACGTTATCAGATATGGCTCAGAATAGAAGCCAGTGGCGATCCTGCTGTAACCTTCTTTTACTTTCTTCATAAAAAGTGGTTGTGTCTCCCTTACCTGAAAGATTTCTTCTGATTGTACCTTTCCGTTCCCTCATTTCTACCGTACTACCTTACACCAATCTCTTCGTTATTGTTCTCTTTTTCTTTTTGCGCTCCTTAGTTTTTTTTTCTATTTCTCTTCGCATTCTCATTGTTTTGTGTGGCGCATATATATTGGCGCTCTCTTGTACCAATATTCATGTGTTCAAATAAATAAATAAATATTGTTGCTATAAATTAAGCACCAGCTAAAACATGATACTTTTCTAAAGTCTTAGTTGTTGATCCGTTGGTCGATTAGTGCAATAAGCTCAACGTTATCGCTTGCTTTCACCTATAGGTTTGCTGCACATACTTCAGTCCAGGTATCCGCGTAGTGACATCAGTCCAAAACGCAGTACAACAATTTTCCTACCATTAATGATACTCTTATTTTTCACTACTTTTGTATTCCTGATCATTTTAGTTCATTGTTCAATAATGTGGCAACATGAACAAATGGATACATGTGCTCTATTCTACGCTGCTTATGACTGACAGCGCTTTTGACCCTAAGCATACTCCTATCCACCACCTAATACCAAACTTGTCTGATAAATATTGTGTTATCATTGTATCCATGTATAGACTTCCATTTTAGCATTCACTAAATGTCTTAAAGCTGTCTTTAACTATTTGATTGACTGACCTATAATAAGTTAATCAATAGCCAATCTAAGTTTGGTCTTTTACAACTCAACATCCTTAATACTTATAAGTGATTAATAAAGTTGCTAAGTTTTACTTAAAATAATTATTTTATTTTACAGAAATATGCAGTTGAATTATCAATGCAAATTCAACAATCAATACGAAATTCGAATAATAAAATTGGCGAAAAGGATAAAATTAAAATGAACAAGGAAGAAGCGCTTGGTAAACCATTGGATGAAACTTCATTGAATTATTTTTCTGAAACACAACTTAATCAGTTATTAACTTTAGCTAAAGAAATTTATGATGAAAATCATAAACCATTAGAAAACTAGTCGAAAAATGATCAACTAATACAAATCAACTTTACTACAATGTGTTGCGAACTATATCAATAAAATGTAGTGATTCTGTTTGTTTTTAGATTTTCTAAACTTTTTGAATTAGTTGATGTGAACAAGCTACAGTCATTTTGAAATAAACCTTTCATATGTCAATCAGTCAGCTACAACGTAGGACCAGGCACATATATAAATCGGTCCAAGTTGCCATACCTCATTAACACAACAAGATGAACACCGGATTCATAAAAGTAGTTAATTCAGTGGTGGTAATATATAGAAAAATTGCAATAAGGATTTAGTACAGGAAGAAAGAATTAGTTCGTAGAAAGAAAGATATGAAGCAATCTTATTCTCTTAGTTTAAGGGAAGACCAAGAGTGTATACACCGACGCCATTGTGATCGATTCTAAGCCATGTCACCAAGAGTCTCCAACCATTGGTTACGATAGTCATGCGGACCTCAACCAAGTAGTATGCATCTACCAATATGGCTCAGACTACAAGTTAGTGACTTCAAGCACTGATGCCACTTTTTGGTTTGGTCGCCCCGTAACTTTCTTTCAATCATCCCGTACACTAATCGACGTGTCGACTACTTCACTCCCTATCCTTAGTTCAGATGTTGACGCATACCAGTCGTGAAGCAACACCTTTCATTTAGAGGGAGAGAAGCGCATTCCAAACATTCTGGCATTATTGCTTAGTGCTACCAGAAGACTCTGCATTTTATCAGCGTCTTCACCAAACAGGACTATGTCATCTGCGTATTCTAAGTTGATAAGTGGACCTCATGGAAGGATATCAATACCTGAGAATTCAGTAGACGAGAATGTTATTTCCATCAATAGGTCTATGATGAAGTTAAACAAAAACGGAGAAAGTGGACAGCCTTGTTGGACACCACTTGAGGTTGTGAAAGCAGATGACAGTTCGCCATAAGCTCTGACTCGACTAGTAGTGTTCGAGTAAAGAGCCTTCACAAGGTTTATGTACTTCTGAGGTAGACCTTTCAATGACAAACACTGCCACAGAATCTCGCGGTCTGCGGAGTCAAATGCTGCTTTTAAGTCAAGAAAGACCATCATTGTCGGACGCCGATAAACGTGCCTGTGTTCTAGAACCTGACGGATGGTGAATATGTGGTCGATGCAGCCACGATCAAGTTTAATTCCAGCCTGATTTTCTCGTGTTTGCATTTCACGAGTCTTGGTTTGGTGCCCGATCGTGATTGAGGCTATTATTCTAGATGCTATGTTAGTCAAACTAATCCCTCTATGGTTATCACAGGATGATTTTGACCCTTTCTTACATATTGGGACAATCAGTGATTGTGACCAGTCAGATGGGATAACGTCTAACTCCCAGATCTTAGCTAAAGTATTAGTCAACCTAATCGATAAAATTGGACCACCATCCTTAAAGACCTGTGGAGCCAATCCATCTGGACCAACTGCTATTCTTCGTTTCAGATTAGCTATAGCCTTTTGAACTTCAGCTAGAGTTGGGGTACCTACTTCAATGTTCCATTCACACTGTCTGGGAATGGAGGGTAGTTGTAGAGTAGCTGAAGGCCAGTTGAACTGTTCTCTGAAATGTTCTGCCTATCGTTCTAAACGTCTGGACTGAGAGCAGATGAGGGTGTCGTCATTTTCCGAAATAGTCCGACTTACACTTGACTTATTAATTCCAGTTTCTTTTATTAGTATGTAGAGCTGTCTTGTGTTCCCTATAGCCGCCGCCGTTTCCATCTCTTTTGCTTTCGCTGCTCACCACTGCTCACGGTCGTTCCACAGACTTTTGTTTATTCTATATCTGTCTTGTTTTTGCTCTTCATCGTGTGCAGAGCCTGATGGGGTGAGTTTACGAGAATCCATCAGTACAATAGACCTTGAAGAAATCCAATGGTTCTTTGTAACTCTGTGGTTTAAATCACTGATAGATGTCACTGCTGTTTCCACAGCTGTTCGCATATCTTTTCAAGCAACATTTGGGTCAACCTCGTTTTCAGAACTACCTGTGACCCTGGTTGTTCCTGGAATTTACTTTTGGCTTCCTCGTCACTGAGTTAGACTATTGGGTCTTTTTAATGTGGCTTTTTTGCGTCCAGTGAGGCGCAAGCAGATGCGTGCCCGTATTAGGGCGTGGTCGGAGTTCAAGCAGGTACTCCAGAATGAGCGACAATCTTGTACCGGCCCTCTCCAACGATGACTGATGGCAATATAGTCTATTTGAGTCCATCGTTGGTTTGGTGTAGGGGGTCGCCATGTTAGATGATGTCTCTCCCTATGCTTAAAATTTGTGTTTGCTAAAAATAAACGATTGTCTGAACACAGTTGCAGCAGACGATCATCGCTATCTGTTCGTTGAGCCGGAATACTGAAATACCCACCCAAATGACTTTCTGTTTGGTTTAAACCACCTATCTGGACATTAAAGTCACCTGCTACGAGTATTATATCTGAACGTTTAGCTTTTTGAAGTTCAGATAGCTTTCTGTAAAATTCATCTTCCACATTATCTGAGCTGCAGTCGGTGGGAGAGTAGGCAGAAACAATAAAAAGGCAACGACGTGTGTCCCTATCCTTCCGAGTTCTTACAGAGCCGTTTAGCCGAACAGCACATAAACGACTGTTAACGGGCATCCACTCTAACAGTGCTTGTTCCGCCCTAATGCTCAGTGCTATACACACACACCTTCCAGTCCACGAGAACTGGCCGTCCGGTCACCAGATACACGGAGGGTGTATCTCGTTGGCTCTCCGTGTTGCCGAGGTGACGTCAAGTGAATGACCACATTGAGATCCTGTATGCGTGTTTCAGAGACACAGCATACATCAATGGTACGAAATTCTAGGGTTTTAGTCAAGGAAGACGGTTGACCGATTTGACGTAGGGTGCGTACGTTGAAGGCTCCAATGTGTAGTTTGGAGCGAGGTTTCAGTAGACCTGGGACAGTGTTTTGAGCACTAGAATCGTTGGCTATGGTGACATTTGAGGAGGAAGCCGAAAAAAGAAGTTTAGAGGTGAAAGTCGATGTAGGAAGAATAATAGGAAGTGAAGACGGAGGTTGATTATGAATACAGTGGTCTTGAGTGTTGTTAGAGGTATGAGGGCGGTCATCACTTCCCGGTTGCCCACACCATGGGAGGGTTCTTCTGGAGGTACCTGAAAAGGAACTTGGATTAGAGGTGGTCTTAGTGACCTGAGAGCGTGACCGCAGTGCCCAAGGGACAACTGCTTGAGGTCGGTCACACGACCTTTTTATGGGTAATTTTTGTGTTAGCTCCGTACTTGTTGAGACCTTACCGCCGGAGACAGATATCCATGGGGTAAGACGAGATGTACATTTTTTTAGTGTCGACCTTTTCTAACCCCACCCCTCCTTGTGGGAAGGCAGCATCGCTGTCATGCTGGTTGTCTGAAGGAAACACCTTACTGCTGTCACACCTCTGTACAGTCAGCAGTACGACTTCCGACCTCGGGTTTGTTGGTTTTCGTCTTACCGCTCTTCAACCGACCTGTCTGACATGGTAGGACCTTGAGGAACGGTTGTTCCAGTCAGTATAGCTCGGTTGCTTCATCACAATAGACAAGCCCGACCACCATGTCAAGGTAACAACAACGGTCGGGTAAGTTTTGTTCTGATGGATGGTATTTTCAGAGTAACGTGATTATAATAATGTGAAGTAAACCAACAACTCAGTAAGTCTATAAGATGTACTTGCGTTTAATAATGTAAGGGGTCGCGAATAACATGGTAATGACAAGCGTGAAATTAAAACAGCCTGGTAATGCAAAATAGAAGTTGGGATAGAGTAGGGCTTCATATGGTTTACACTAAGTGCAGATTTGCTCAGTCGGCTGTAAGTCATACATTTTTGTATGTGATGGCTAGTTCCGGCTGTAGCTTCTATCATGGCGTGGTAGTTAAGCTTGTGTATCTAAATGGCTCAGCCGAGCTTTACCTTCAGGAATAGTCGTTCCTTTAAGCCGTATCATATCAGACAGGTCGCTTGGGGAACGGTAAGATCTAAAGCAACAACTTAGTGCTTTAGGGCGGAGTCGTACTGCAGATTGCGTAGGCGTGTGACAATAAGGTGTCTGCAGCGGTTCTGCCTTCTCACAACGGATGAGGTTTGTAAAAGTCCTTCCAAAATAGCAGGCTTTGTCCCGTGGGTCTCAATTACCTACTGTGAAACGTTGTTGGGTCGTCCATAACATTTAATCACTTAAAATTCGGGTGTTTCATTCGCTCTCAGGCCATCACGACCATTTTAGTCTATTTTTCTCTTACAGTTACTTCAATAAGTATCATACAACCATTTGGGGGACCGGTACATGACAACCTCCCCCATACTTCTGTCAGTACTTGAGATCATCTTGTTCACATTCGGATCATTTGATGGCTAATGATAAAATATCGTTTGGTTGCCTGAAATGAAGTAGATTTATGCTGTTTAGACCTGTGAGTTATTGGTTGATGTCAAAAATTTCAGAACACTGAACTACCTTTCAACATGGAATATTAACTGATGTTACCTAAAACATTTTGTTCAGACAAAATTTAGATGTTTCAGCGATGAAATGTTTTTCTACGATATCATTTGCTAGAACTGTATAATCATATTTATTCTAACGTGTAGTGGTCTATAATAAAAGTAGAACTGTCGCATCTCTAATAGAGGTTCTAGGAGCTAGTTAGAATTTAAAGTTACATAATAGACAAGGGTTAATAAAAATGAAATAACATACGGGAACGAACTATCCACAGAGAGATTAGGAGGAAGATAATATGAATACGTACTCATCAAAATAAAATATAGGACAGAAATATGAAAGGTAATCGTCCACTTGAAAAGTGTACGAAGAGAAAGCCAACATGTGTCAAGAATAACTGGAAAACTATGAAGTTATGTTAGGACTAAGGTAAACCGAGATATTGGACATACGACTTTTGAACACTGAGATAAGGCTTGATACGTTGAATCGTC